GAAGCGTGTTAATGCTCTTAATCAGGTTGGATAGACCTGAAGTCATTGTTAGAAATGTGATTTAGGTGTAAAGTTAATGTGCGTAGTACGCATTCATCTAGACAACTAACTTTCCCACATTCCTACCTAATCACATGTTTAATTGAATCGGTCACATGTATTAAGAAACATGATTCAATTAACTCATATTTGAGGACAATATCAATAAGATTATCCATAAGTAAAACATACACCAAACTTGAATCCAAGAACATGGAAAAATGTTCACAAAGTAAATGACTTACTAAGGGGATTCGGCCAACAAGGTTATCCATGTCAAAATTTTACTCTTCCAATGGTGTTCGGTGGAGCAAAATTAGTCTCACATATTGACTATGAGAATGGTACTTCTCAACAACATTGGTAGGGGCACAAACAGGTGCATAACTAATGATCTATTCCATCGAGACGGAAGTAGATTCTGCAGGGTTAAGGTTTAGGAATACTATCCCTTATTCTTGAAGTTTTATGTTTTAGGTGCCAAGGATCATGCTTCAGGCATGATGCCACACCTTGGCAAACCCTGATTCTACCATATGTTTATGGTAGTAATCAGATCCGAGAATTTAGTAAACTTCCCCTTTCTACACTATTGATTCAGAAGTGAGTTAGAAACAAGGAAGGACGAGAAAAATATTCTCTAGTCAAAATTTGATCGGATTTATAAACTTTAAAATTGTACTCATTCATGGACGTAATCATGGTGTGCTTCAGGTAATGTCTTTTATGATTACACAGTCTGTAGGAGCGAGCCAAAGAGCCATGGAATCCTCGTTCGGGAGGTACTTCCGTTTGTAATGCTTCGGGCATAAGTCTTCAAATGAAGATCAAGGCGGATGTTTATTCCACTATTCCTTGCCATTGTTGGCGTCAATGGTTTCTCAGCTTCTTGATAGTCAAGTGGAGATTCACGTCTTGTACCCACATATAGGGGTTTTTAATAGAAACGTCCAAATCAGGAGAATCGAACTTGTGACGGTTCGAAAATCCACTGAATTGAAGGGAAGAAGATTGTGATTGGTGCTATGAGAATGAATCATCCATAAGTATCAAAGTTAGAACATTTGAGTTCTAAGACATGTTTTTTATGAAAAACGTTGGGTTTTCATAGGTGTATTATTTTATGAAAACTTTCAAAGACACTAAATTTGAAACTACATGTTCAATTTAGTTTATGAACGTTTAGTTCATAAAAGAGAGGTTCCTGCAAGAACATAGAATGCAATATATAACTAAGTGTAGTGGATTTGAGTTTCTTCAGGAACTCAAGTGTGAGTGCTTCAGGACTACGAAAGTGAGTCAACGGTTCAAAGAAAAGAAATAAAATATTGAATTGTTAATGTCTAAAAGTGATCTTCAGGTCAATAATTTTGGATTCATTATCAGATTAATGGACTGTAGGTTATTTTTAATTAATTCAATAGATCGGGACCAAACATAGTCGATCGTATATGCAAAAATAATTATAACTTTCGGGTTAAAATTATTTAAAATGCCAAAAAAATTAGTATTGGGTCGAAAAAGTATAGCCCAAAAGGGTTTGGGCTTGGGTGGCCGCAGAAAACAATAAAAAATGGCAATAGGCTATGGGAAGGCTGCAAGCCCTTGGGTCGTGGGTTGGGAGGGCGCAGGGGTCAGCAAGCCCAGCTTGTGCTAGCCCGGGATGGTGCGCGACTTCGGGTTTTGGATTGGAGCGAGGTGAGCTAAGCAGCCTAGGTTCTACTGCTGGCGGGCTGTGACCTGAAGTAAGGCTTAGCAAGCATCAGGCTTGCGAGATGGGCCAGCATGCAATGGGAAAGGTCAGCAAGCAACAGGCTTTGTTCGTTTGGGTCAGGGAACCTTGGACAAGGTCCAGCATGGTTGCAGGCCTGTTGGAGATGGGCTGGGGGTTGCAGGCCCGTGCAGAAACCTTCCCAAGCCAAAGCCTGGTTGTCATGCGCAGCAAGTCCAAAAGGCTGCTACCGTGGTGGTCCAGTCGGCAAACGACATCGTCCAAGGCTACATAGCGCAACTTAGCCTAAAAAAATCCCAATTTTTAATCTTTTTTTTTTCTACTCTAGGGTTTGAAAAAAAAAAAAAAACCTAATTGCTTCTAATTTCTTTCGATTATTTGACTCATAAATTCCACATAGCAAATATAATTTTGTAGTAGTTATCACTTATAACGAAAACAAACCTCTCGAGCCAAGGAAGCGGATGGAGATCTTTCATGGCGTCTACATAAGAATCTGTACACCGAGGTGGGGATTGATAAGGGGGATGGTTTAAACTGAAACCCCCCCCCCAATCTAGGAATCTCTGGATCAGCGCCAGCTGCGATCTCTCTTGGTCCGAGTATGCATCCATTATCATGGGGAGTGAATTGAATGTTTCCCACGCCCATTGCTCGGATTCTTGCATAGACTGAGTGACCAAGTCTTCTATGGTGGTGTTGTCTTCGTCCCAAAAGGCACATTGACAAGTCTGTTGGCTATCCCGATATTCAGCACCACAAGAATAACAGAACTCATGCCCACACCTGAAAAATGAGGGACACGAAAAGCTCAGTAAATATTCAACAATTTGTAATGGAACAGGACGTACTGATTTCTTATTCAAATAGTTACACAATGATACAATAAAAAACCAACAAAGTCTTAAATTCATCAGCTTTTTATTCATAGGCGTGTACGACTATCTCCTAGAGGTCTCATCATACGCATTTGCCCCCAGGCATAGGTCAACACCAGTTTGTCCCCCCGGGGTCCTGAGGAGAGTGAGAGGGGGGAGAATTCTCAACAAGTTAGAATCACTCTATCATGTTGCCCACGTACAAAAATGAGGCCTGAAATTATTAAGCAGGTTCCACCTATTTCACGTGACATATTGAGGCACTCCATCATGTTGCCCACATACAAAAAAGAAAGCCAGAGACCTGAAATTATTAAACAGGTTCTACCTATTTCATGTGACACATTGAGTCGATATTGTCTATGCCTACCATCATCACATTCTTGAGCATGTGCATGCCTCTATCAGTAACCTACTCACAACATATGTTGCTTCATTAAAATAAATATTCCCACGAGCTAAAAACTGTTTAAGATCATAATTACCGACTACAATCTGAAAATCAAATCATTTTTGTCATAAAGATTGTACTCTCCCTCAGAGGCAAGCAACAAGTTTCCAAGAAAATCAAACAAATTGGTTCAAAGCATACAAAGAACATTTTTTGGCACAATAACACACATGAAGATGTGTTAAATGCAATAGTACGTGTAATATAATCAAAACATTCTTACCAACATGTCTATATTTCAACTTTAAAAATCAATAAAAAAATTTGTTTTAAATTATACTCGAATCTTCTTGTTTTATCTTTTCGGTTATTCTTTTCATTGTAGAATCGTCTAATTTCTAGGTCGTTCTTTAGAGATCAACCATGTAATAAAAAATCAATCAAATTAGAAATCGTTAAACCATTTGATGAAAGTTATCAAACTTTTAGGATTTATGTAAGAGAATATGATTATATCTAATCGTAAGAAGTTGAAAAATACTAAACAAAGTGAAGCCCAACGGGCCATTTTCGATTCTTGAGAACAAGCCTAGCCATGCTTGAACAAGGTTAGCAAAAAGCTAAGTCCAAAAAAAGCCAACGAACACCAAATTTCCATGTGTAATTGGTAGTAGGTTTGAATTGAAGCCACTTAAGCACGTAAGTTCCATTAAACATGTTGGGGTGGTGACCTTGATTGAAACTCCCCTTATCCAAAATGCAACGTGTCCTCTTGCAAAACCAAACACCACCACAACCACCACCCGGACAATCATAAGTGGTGGGTGAGTGTGGTCTCTTTCCCATTTACTTAAAAAACATACATGACAAAGAGGGTTTCTATCATACAAAATGGGACAACCATGCTCATTGCATATGAATACAATGTAAATTGGCTCGAAATAGCTCGAATTTGTATTGAATTTGGAGTGGATTTGGTTCGTATCATAAGTGGTGGGTGAGTGTGGTCTTTTTCCCATTTACTTAAAAAACATACATGACAAAGAGGGTTTCTATCATACATAATGGGACAACTATGCTCATTGCATATGAATACAATGTAAATTGGCTCGAAATAGCTCGAATTTGTATTGAATTTGGAGTGGATTTGGTTCGTATCATAAGTGGGGGTGAGTGTGGTCTCTTTCCCATTTACTTAAAAAACATACATGACAAAGAGGGTTTCTATCATACAAAATGGGACAACTATGCTCATTGCATATGAATACAAAGTAAATTGGCTCGAAATAGCTCGAATTTGTATTTAATTTGGAGTGGATTTGGTTCATCTAAGCTTTTGCTTGTTCAGGAAACAACCCAAACTTGAGCTTTGGTTGTTCGGCTGATAAAGCTCGTACACAGCTCATTTACACTAAGTTTGCTTGGAAAACGAGCATTTACAATGTCAACAACAAGATAACAAAGCTTTATCCGACTAAATGAAATCGGTTATATGAATCTTAGAACGTCATTGTACTCGATTTTGCATCAAGTTTTATGTTATCTCCAAATACATTTGATCTTTTCTTCAAGTCTCTTTTCAGGTCTTTCTAGGTCTTCCTCTACCTCTTTTGCCCTAAGCATCTATCTTGTAATCGCATGTTCTAACCGGAGCATTTGTGAGTCTTCGGTTCACATGTCCCAACCGCCTTAATTGATTTTCTCTCATCTTATCTTCAATTGCGGTTACTCCTACTTTATCTTGAATATCCTCGTTCTTAATCTTGTCCTTTCTCGTGAGCCTATACATCCGACGAAACATTCTCATCCCCGTTACACTCATTTTTTGTACGTGTCGATACTTGACCATCCAACATTCCGTGCCATAAAACATTGCTGGCTTTATTTACATTGTCACTAGAAAAAAAATGATATCACTCTTACTTTGATGAATATTTAGTGTTTTTCATCTCAGAGCATCTTAAACGGAAAATATTTTTTCAATTCAATAACATGATAAATGTTATTTCAATTCAATACACTATCTTTTTTTTCCCTCTTTTCTTTCAAGAAGAAAGCTATCGCCTATCAGCAAAGTACATGGACGCTTGCCCTCCTATGTTTTACACAAGGTGCTTTTTAACGGCCGCATATCTCTTTAACACAATGCTTATGAAACTACAAAGGAAAAGAGGCACATAAATCTCCGCAGTGAATAGAGCGAGACACTCTTTACTCCTATGAAAGGTATTCTCGGGTAGCTGTGCAGATTATTTTCCAATTTCAGAAGTCCTATAATTCACTGGATATATTCTTCGTAGTAGTTATCACTTATAACGGAAACAAACCTCTCGAGCCAAGGAAGCTGATGGAGATCTTTCATGGCGTCTGCATAAGAATCTGTACACCGAGGTGGGGATTGATAAGGGGGATGGTCGCTTAAACTGAACCCCCCAGCTAGGAATCTCTGGATCAGCGCCAGCTGCGATCTCTCTTGGTCCGAGTATGCATCCATTATCATGGGGAGTGAATTGAATGTTTCCCACGCCCATTGCTCGGATTCTTGCATAGACTGAGTGACCAAGTCTTGTGTGTTGTTGTCTTCGTCCCAAAAGGCACATTGACAAGTCTGTTGGCTATCCCGATATTCCGCACCACAAGAATAACAGAACTCATGCCCACACCTAAATATGAGGAACACAAAATGCTCAGTAAATTTCAACAACTTGTAACGGAAAGGACGCACTGATTTCTTATCTAATAGTTACACAATGATTCAATAAGCAAACGTATGCCTCTATCAGTAACCTACTCACAGCATATACTGCTTAAAATCAATATTCCCAAGAGCTAAAAATTGTCTGAGATCATAATAACCGACTACAATCTAGAACTCAAATCATTTTTTCATAAAGATTGTACCCTCCCCAGAGGCAAGCAACAAGTTTCCAAGAAATTCAAACACATTGGTTCAAAGCATACAAAACACATTTTTTGGCACAAAAACACACATGAAGATCCATTCTCAATCAACTTAGTCAGTGCTGTTAAAATTGAAATAGTTCGTGTAATATAATGAAAATATTCTTACCAGCACGTCATGTGGTAGCAACCTTGAGAGAGTTCAATCATCCTACGACACTGCTGGCAACGCCTCCAGCTGTTACTTTGTGCCAAGCGATGTAGGGTAATGTCTGCAGCATCTCTCTCTTCCAATGGGAGATTCTGGAACTCCTCGCAGCTCATAGAAGTATGCCAAGGAACCCCACAATCCGCACAGATGAACCTCTGACAAACTGGACATTCAATGCAGCTGTTATCCGACTGACTTGATGAACTTGCCCTAGCTGACAAGCATTCAAGGGGATCAAGCAGGACGGAACAATTTGGAAATGGGCAGTACATTCTATCTGAGTGGAGAATACTTGCTTCTGCAAAGGATTTCTCCAATGACTCGTAAGAAGTGAGTGGAAGAAAAGATTTGCACTCAGCAGTGGAGATGTAATACTTGCATCTCAGTTGAGGACATCTGATGGGGACTTGAGAGGACTGTACCTTCCCATCAACGTATGTTCTCATGCAATGTGAACAGAACTTATGAGAACATTTCATGGTGATCATCATCAAGGATGGTTTATCGTCGCAACAGATGGAACAGTTTTCAAGAGATTCAACACCCTTAGCCGGAAAAGAGACAACTCCAATAGCCACTTGGGCTAATTTTGATGGCCGCTCAAGATCTACATCAGGGGCAAGTTTCAGAACAAAAGCTTCAAGATTACTGGCATGCTCTAAAATCCTTTGCCTCAGTGCCACTAGGATTGGAACTTCAAGTTTCTCCTCATGTGAAACCTGCCAGAAATTCAAGTCATTAAAACAAACTTGACATACAATAAGATGATTTGAAAATTTAATGCTAGTGCTACAACTCAAATGAAGAAAGATGAGGTAATCCTCAAGAGCAATCACTCAAAGTGTAGTTTTCTAAATAACACGGTATTATCCACTTCTCAACTATAAAAATTGTGCTGCTAAAAAGGGTATATAATGGATAATCAAACAGAATAAACCTTTTTTATTTAATGAATTCAAGCACTCACAATGCTGATATTGCAGTGGAGAATCTAGCAATGAACTTATGAAACCCAAATTCGAACTGAAAGTTATTGAAAATCCCAAAATCATATTCCAAAGTACGCACAGAAAGCAAACAGATGGGCCAGAAAAATCAAGGTTAATACAAAAGTCTTGGTTTCATATTTAATACGACTTTCTAAAACGTTAACCGACATGAAGAAAGAAACATTACCGTTTAGTAGTGAAGGACTCACCTGATCATAAAGCAGTTCAGAATCTGTAAATGCATACACCCTACGGACTTTATTCTGCACAGCCTCCACTAAACCATCCATCAGGGCTAAATAGTCAGCCACAAGCTCCTCCACATAAAAATCAAGCCTTTTCTGCACCTGAATTGCAGGAACATTGGTTGATCTTTCCATGACAACTCCGATTCCAGAAAGTCCACAACCGGGGTCCCCATAGCCAGCTATGGACATGCCTTTGAAGAACATTTTCACAGAAAATTCGTCGAGATCATATTTTGACTCATCTTTTGTCTCCCCTTTCACTGGTTCTTCGGTCTCCTTCCAAACTTCATCTTCGTCTTCACAACAGCTCCGGAACTCTTCTTCGTCTTCCTCTCTAACTAAATTAACAGAAACCTCATCACCAGAAATTGCCTGACCCTCCATTTCTTACACAATAACTCTGAAATTCTAAACTTAAAGCTGCGATTATTACTAAAATCCAATCACAAGCAAGCAACCAATCAATCTGAAGCTCTATATTTTCAACAAAATCTCTCCAAATCACAAACAACTGTTCCTTCCAATCACCGACTTCCAAGGCCTATCTCTAAATAATCAAACAAGAAAACCCATCAAGGAATCGATCCAGAACTGCCACTTGTAGCACCACCTCCACCTAAAAATACCACAAGGAAAAACCAATCAACCAATCGATTCAGCTCCTAATTCCGAATCGAAAACCCAGAAAACCCCATCAAGGAATTAATCCAAAAGAACCAAAATTTGATAACTGTTCGCTTATCCATATAAAAAACGAACCAACCAAAGAAAGAAAGAACACAAATTTTCAATTCAATCCCTCCAAAAAAACTGCACAAAATATTAAATAAACATACAAAAATAGGATAAGAGTATGATACTGGAAGGGCAACTGGGCAAGAAAGAAGTGAAGGTTCGAATTACCTTATCCGGGGGAGGGAATTGAAGTGTCTGGAATCAGATTCCTTCTTGGGGTCTGAAGTCTGAGACGGTGTCTTGTAACTGTAGTAAGGGTACAATAAGAACCCTAATCTGACAAATTTCAACCTTTGGTTTGGTGCCTCCCCCACTTACAAGATGCTGTTTTTATTCTATTCTTTTATTACTTGGATTAGATGAAATACCAGAAGGGAGTCCTCAGAATTATTATTGGCAATTGCCGTGTTTGTTGGCGTGAGAGAAAAAGTTAGCGCCTTTGGCCTTTTGCTTTGCCGCCACTCTCTTTCCTAACGCATGCAATTGGGGATGGTATTGCTTGCTTATTTTCTTTCCTAATCATCATTTTCTCTTAGTTTTGTTTTGTATCTTTAGGTAGCATAATTTTAAAAAGGAAATTCTAGGTTATCGTTTAGTATATAAATTGGACGTTGATGATGTAATGCAATCACGTTCAAGTGTTATTTTCTGTATTTACAGTGTAAATATGATTTAGTAAAATGATTGTTAATAACACAAAATGATGTTGCAATTACTATAAGAAAGATTGACAAAAAAAATTAGTATAACAAGGTTGAAGGTAATGTTGTTGACGTCATATTACATTGACAAAGTAGATTATTATTAATTAGACGTGATTCCGTTATTTCTATCAATGGTGATAATTACACGATATGGACATAGGCTATACCATGGATGTCTTATTACAGTATAGATGTAGGTTAGTACTTGGAGACGTCATGAAATCACAATTGTAATTCACTTACGGCCTCCCTACTTAGCGTAATGGAATTACAATATGAGGTTGGCATTCAATGTGTGAATTACGAAAAAGTGTAAACTACAATGTATTGTTCAAATTCACACTCCAAAGTTACATAATAATCTTATTGTTATACCTAATTCCATGTAATGATGTTAGTATTAATATACCAAAGTTGGTCTTTACATTGTGAACCTCATATTACACTGTAAATGTTTGATATTATACTTGAACGTAATCGCATTACAAATTGAAATGGTAGTATTCTTTCCTCACAATTTTCTCATTATTTACCCTATATTTGCTTCCATGTTTCTGTCCTTCTAACTAAACAGTTTCCGGTTCTTAAAAATAAAAGAGCAGCTGTTGGATTAAGTTGGCTTCCAAGAAAATCCACTAACTGTACGATATATGACAATGCCCCTTCCTAGACTGTGCCATTCTGTTCTTAGTCAACAAATCCTGGGGAACTCTGTAGAAATATGAACGCATTAAGACAGACCCTCAAGATTCCCAGCGAGAAAGCTGGGTTTGAAGAAACCTATGCAGTATGCACATGGTGCTTGTCTACTTAGATGAAGGAAATGTGACTTTGTTCTTGACTTTTTTTTTCAACTTCCTGACGATATTGTTTTTTTATTACTAGAATTAAACAAATCCCTGTAAAAGTGGATTAGAAAATGGGACATATCAATGATTACCAAACCCTATTTTCTTAAACTTAATTAATTAGTCAAATGGACCTTTTATTTTATTTCATTACAATAAATATTGTACTTTAATTTTCATCAAAAGAGAAGGAAAAAGTTTGAGGCCAGATGCGGTAGGTTAAAAAGAAAGATTGTATTCACTCAGAAATTGGAACTTGGAGGCTGAATTTATTGTGGAAACAAGATCCATATATGACTGAACTTTAGCGTGGGAAACAAATATTGTAATTTTAGTGCATTACTCCTCAGTACATTTAGAGTTTAATCGAAATATTAATTAAACAAATCTTGGCAATTGTTTACTACAAAATACAGATGCTGGCCATTATATATGTAGTGTATCTATGCTGTGTAGTCTTTGTACCTAATCACTTTCTTGTCCAGCCTTGCAGTTTACAGGCTGAGAATTCAATCATCAATCACGTTAGTGTATAATTCTCACGTTGTTTTGGTATTATTAGTTGGCTATGGTTTTTAATTCCATGGTTTTGTAAGGTTTGGTAAAGGTAGGGTCTTTGGTGTGAAGAAATGAACAAGATGCTTACAGAAGAAAGGGACTTGACTCTATATACGATTGCCCTTGAACAATATGACTGCTCAAAGCTTACATTTACTACACACACTTATTTCTCTTTACATTTAGGGAAGGATGCTCGTCTATAGAAGAATTTTGTTTGACATATACGAGTAGTGAGTCATTTCTCTTTTATTGGCAAATCACGACCTCACATATATTTTAAAATGACTTGTTCAAGGCAAAAAAAAAAATATATATTATGCACACATGTGTCAAATTGTAATTTGACTGTAAAGAGAAATAAGTTCTTAGATGTAAAGAGTCAAACATTTTTCTCTAACGAAAAAACAACTTTATGATACCAAATTATTTACTCCTCAAAATCTAATATTTAGGTCAAACTATAAATTTCGATAACTATACATAAACTTGAATTCAACTCCGAAGTTGATTATATTTTGAGAATTTTCTAACAATATAAAATTAGGAAAACTAATGAAAATGGCTTGAAAACTTTGAATTTTAATGATAAGGACAAAATAAAGGGTAAAGTGAATAGTACCAGGATTGACTTTTTAGTGTAAAAATGTGGTTTTTTGTTATAGTGAACAGGACCGGGAGTTTTTCGTTAAAGTTCCCTATAAAATTCCGGTCCACATTAAATACTGGACCATAGTAAATTTTTGTATTTTGTTATACGTAAATCCAGATTGTTCATTAAATCTGGTTACAGAACATTTTTATAGGGGGATATTAATGACAACTAGTTTGGCCAAGTTGACCTTTAATGTTTTGTTGAAGTTTCTTTGGATTAAGGACTTCTTGAATTTTATCCAAAATGTTCTAGTTGATGAAGATTGTATCAATTTTTAATATTTTTAGTACCATAGTCACTCAGTACTACGGTACGATGATATTCCTCTTCACTTGGAAGTAAGATTTTTAGGTTCAAATCTCATGGATGACGAATTTGTTACCAAATTAGGTTGCCCATTGTGTGGCTTAGCCGAACTCCCTCTCCCCCTAGTGTAAAAATATCAATGTACTAAAAAAAAATCATAATAAAGCTCCTATCATTTCATTTGGGGGAAAAAAAAAAGAAGACATCACTTATATAAAAATTTGTAAAGTTGAATGTCTATACCCCATATTTATTCAAGTTGGAATAAAATCGGGCTTGAATTTTCTTTTATCTGCTTGTTGGTAAATTAGTATTTGGTTGCAAATGACAAACTCTTTTGTGAAAGGTTTCATAAGTTCATAGTTGGGGTGCAACTCGAACGGGTTGGAAGGTCAACCTAATCCTATCTCAATTTTTACAATTCGGGTTCGGGTTCATGTTGGATTTCATTCGGGTTCATTTGGGCTCAAGTTTAATTGGGTTAAGGTTTACTTGGGTTCGGTTTGGGTTGCCCAACTTTTTTAAGTTTAATCTTGTAACAACTTAATTTCCAAGAATTCCTAAAAAAAAATTTCAGCCAAGTAGCATCAAGGCTAGCTAACTCTAATTTCATAAATCAATCTACTATAAAGCTTTAGGATTTAGAGACTACGAATATAGGCTGACTAATCAAAGCCTCTTATTCCCTAAAAGCTTAAGTAATTATAAAGGGTAATTTGATAAAAATTATTAGAAAGGGCGTTGGTTTTTGGACTTGGCACACTTGCGTGTAGTATAAGCATTAATTGATGTGGGTTACAATCTGATTAGATTGGGTTTGGTTAGTCGGGTTGGGTAGGGTTGGGGATGGACGGGCAAATTATCAACCCAACTCAACACAATCAATGAATGGGTTGAAATTGAGTTGGCTTCGGACGGGTTATAATAATAATAAATAAATAAACCCCATTTGTTCGGGTTTAAAGTCAGATTAAACATGAACGGATTTGGATTGGCACAACCCAAGTTGTACCTCTAGTTCATAGAAATTATTCGTGCTTTTAATATTAGGTAATGTGCCCACTCATCATGTGTCTTTGCAATAAAAAATGGGTCCTGAAGATTCTCTGTTTCACGTAACTAAACGTAAGTTGGCGTTATATTTTTCAAGGAATTCTAATCCTTGAATTCTAATCCTTGAAGCTAAAAACTTGTGATGTGTCAGGTCTATATAGAGTTATAACAAATGAATGGACAAAATCCAATTTTTAAGTGTTAATACAATTCCTGTGGAACACGGAATACAAGGTATCCTATCTAGGGTTTTATTCTATCATATGACCTCACCAACGGAGGTTTCAGTCGTCAGAGGCAAGGATTTAAATATCGATAATATCGGCAAAATATCACCGATATTATCGTTTTTTTGAAGATCCGAAATTTTTTTAACTATCCAAATAATTTTCGTCAAAATATCACGATATTATCAATAATATCACGATATTTTCGATATTTTCGATAAATATCGATAATATCACAACATAATATTAAAAAATACTTAAATATGTTGAGAAAACTCAACATATACTTCACTTGATCATAGCCAAAAGGCCATTCAAGCTAGGATTTTCTCAGCTGGGGGAATGTGGCTTTTATAGGAAAAATTGCTTGCTCACTGCCCTCACATGGGCGATGTGGGACTCCCCCAATGGAAGAGAAAATCAGAATTTTGGCCGAAATTTTACACCCACTTTAAACGGCCATAACTTTGTCAAAACGCAACGAAATCAAGCAAGACAAAAACGAAAGTTGTAGCCCTCGAAGAGACGAAGAGAATGGTACCTCACACAACGTCTAAATCGTCGTGGTTTGCCCGGAAAATGCCTCGAAAGTCACTGAGATCGGCGGAAACTGGGTAAGATTCAAATGAGTATAACTTTTTTAATACTCAACAAAATTGAGTGAAACAAAAAGGAAAGTTGTACTACTCGACGAGACGAAGAGATTGATACCTTGCAAGCCGGCCAACTCGCCGTGGTTTGGCCGGAAATTGCCTCGAAAGCCACTGAGGTCGCCGGAAATTGGGTAAGATTCAAATGAGTATAACTTTTTCAATACGCAACGACATTGAGTGAAACAAAAAGGAAAGTTGTAGCCCTCGAAGAGACGAAGAGAATGGTACCTTACACGACGTCTGACTCATTGTGGTTTGGCCGGAAATTGCCTCGAAAGCCACTGAGGTCGCCGGAATCTGGGTAAGATTCAAATGAGTATAACTTTTTCAATACTCAACGAAATTGAGTGAAACAAAAAGGAAAGTTGTACTACTCGACGAGACGAAGAGATTGATACCTTGCACGCCGGCCAAAATTCAATTGACACACTCCTGGCTTCCAAAATTCAATTCTTTTACTTTATATAAACTTGAAAAAAC